TTATTAGATGCTGCTCCAGCCAGCCAGAGAACTAAAATTACTCCAAGAGCTTTGATGGCTCATCAAGGAGGTCACAAAACAACCCAAAACAAAACGTAAAGGACTGCAGGCCTGCCTTGCCTCAGTTAAGGTCAAAGTTCACGATTCAACAATAAGACAGAGACTGGGGAAAATAGCCTTTATGGGAGAGTTCAAGGAGAAAACTACTGCTGACCAAAAAGATTACAAAGGCTGGTGTCATATTTACCAAAAACACCTAATCAACCTAGAGTGCTGACTGCTTCAGGACGACTTGCTGTAACTGATGGAACGATGAATTCTGCTCTCTACCAGAAAATCCTGAAGGAGGGTGTGCGACCATCAGTTCATGCCCTGAAGCTCAGGAGCACTTGGGTTCTGCAGCAGAACAATGATCAGAGTCGACCTCTGAATCGCTCCAAAAACCAAAATGAAGGTTTTGGAGTGGATGAGTCGAAGTCTGGAGTTAAACCAGATTGAGAAGCTTTGACGTGACCTTAAACAGGCTGTTCATGCTGGAAAATCATCCAGTGTGTCTGAATTAAAGCAAATCCGCAAAGAGTGTTTTTGCAATTTTCTCTGCATCCAGTTTTTAAAAAAGACGCAGACGCTGATTATGAAAGCACACAAATCACCCTTTCTTGGTAAATGGACTGGTTCTTATATAGCGCTTTTCTACTTTTCTGAGCACTCAAAGCGCTTTATACAACTTGCGCATTCACCCCTTCACACCCATTCGCACAAGCACATTGATCTAAGTGCTTTCTAAGTAACATTCACACACATTCATACTCCGATGGATGCATCGGAGAGCAATTTGGGGTTAATATCTTGCCCAAGGATATTTGGTATGCTGACTAGGGGAAGCCAGGAATCGAACCACCAACCTTCCGATCAGTAGATGACCTGCTCTACCACCTGAGCTACAGCCACCCCCGTTTCTTGCGATGGAACATCTGATCTCAAAATCTCGAAAACAAATTTGTTATATATTGATTTAGTTTTGAGTTTTTTGCTTTTAATTCGGTTTATTTTCAGTTGTTTTCTTTTCATTTGGTATATGGTCAGTATGTGGATGCACCGACGCCTCCTCAGGGTGGTTATACTGATAAATACTACAACTGAAGACATATGTTTTCCATTTTTTCTTTGATGATCCATTTTTTTCCACACTTAAATGCAGCTGTGTGTACGAACCCTGCTGTAAACATGCAGGAACATCGGGGAGATAAACACAGCGGCGCCTGCGGTCAATCAAATCTGTCCAGACCTCCTAATTCTCTGCTCTGTGGCCCAGTTTGGCTTCAATCTCTTAAAGCTCCCATCTCCTAACCCACACCCACACCACACCACACAACAACAGCACACCAACAGCGCTGTGTGGTGAATAATTGACGAGTCCTGCCTCCTCTCCCTCCCTCTCTGAGTTTCTTTCCATCACTCTGTCTTTGTGTTGTCGCTCGCCGGGTTCTCCAGACCGTGAAGACCCGCCCCTCCCTCTGCTCCATCACGTCCACTCTCCACCTGCTGCTGGCTGGATGTTGACGACTGTCAGCAGGTAGACAGACGGACGGAGGGGCAGGCAGGAGCAGCAGCTGCTGGTAAGATGAAACCTTTCTGTTACGGTCAGACAACACAGACTTTTTGGAGGTTTTTATCTCACAGGCTGCATCTGCTCCTCAT